ATAATAATAATATACGTTTATTCAAATCCATAAGTATTACATTAATTTACAATTTCAGTTTCAGTTTACTTACAGTAACGTAAACGTAAAAAAAGTCTTTAAAGCATTAACATGCTTGTTGACTTAAGCTGTCTAATATTAACAGGTTTAATGTTTTTTTTTACAAATTATTATTTCATTTTTACAGTTTCTAATCTAATCTAATTTGTTTCGTTTTTTTTTATCTAGTATAATTTAAATTTATTAAATTGTTACACAACTCCCTTTTTTCTTTTACCCAAGCATTAACTAATTTTTTATACAAATAAAAATTTTTGATATTTTTAAAATTTATGGGCAATTGATTGTATATTCTTAGAGCAAAATATTTAATTGACCGTTTGCGTGATTGTTTTTGAAGTATGAAGACATTCAACATTCAATTTTCTTCTTGTTTCATAATTTGACACTTTTACTTTAAGAGGTATTTTATCTTTATGAATATTTTTAAGTAGCTCTAAGCAGTACAATTGCCGAACATCAAGAACCTGAGTTTCATGAAAAAAGTTGGTCTGAGGGATATGTTTTTCGTTTTCCATATATTAGTTTAAGAATCCATTTCTGAGTATTTTGCAGGGTCACCAGATGGCAATGAGCTACGCCACCCCATCCTAAAATCCCATATACAAGATGAGATTGTACTAAAGACAGGTAAAGCATTTTAAGCTGTTCAACATCTAAAAACTCTTTTAAATAGCGGAATTTTGGTAACAGTCCTCTTATTTTTCTTATAATATTTTTTATTTGTAAGTCCCATTTAAGGTGCCTGTCAATTACAACTCCTAAATATTTTATGTATTCTGCTTTAAATATTTGTTGTTTTTTATTTATTTTTAATGAGTTAAAAGTTGGCAGAGACTTTTTATATATTGCAAAAGGTATATATTTAGTTTTTTCGTAATTTATTGTGAGTTTATTTATTTGCAACCATGTTTTTATAACTTTGAAATCTTGTTCAACTATAGTCTTAAGATCTTCCCAATTTTCGGCCTTATAAAAAATTGCGGTGTCATCAGCAAAGCTTATTATGTTTCCATCAGTTTTTAGTTTAAGCATGTCATTAACATAGAGTGTAAAGAGTAGAGGGCCTAAAACGGTCCCTTGCGGTACGCCATAATTAATTACTTCAGGATCACTTTCGACACCATCAATTTCTACAAATTGTTTTCTGTCTGTTAAGTAACTTTTTAGTAATGTCAAAACGCGTCCTCTCAGACCATACTTCTCAAGTTTCTCTAACAAGATCCCGTGAGATACCGTGTCAAACGCATTAGAGAGATCGACAAATATGCATAAACTACGTTTATGAGACTCAAAAGCTTCTGATATTTGTGATGTTAGTTTATATAATTAGTTTATATAGTTAGTTATTAGTTTATATAGTTAGTTTATATTTATGACAAGTAGTTTTTGATTATGATTTTTTGTTTGTTTTTTTGTTTTGTTTGATCCCCAAGTCATAATGCATCGCCTGAAGTCATAAAACACATTTTTAGAGTTTGTTTATATATTTTACAGATGTGTACTTCCTCGGAATTCTTTTGCGTTTCATATACTGCGTTTTAAATAAATATTCCCGTCAAGTGTTTTGTTATTCCTTTTATGCGAATGAATTTTAAAAGATAATTGCTCAGTCTCGCGGAGGCGATGTCAGCGTTGACACCGCCTCCGCGAGCGACAAATTTGTAATGTCCTTTTTTTCTGTCTTACGTTATGGAAAATAAGTTTAGTAGCAGTTAACTGTTTCATTAATAGTTATAGTTAGAGTGAGTTTTGAATTTTTGCCACTGTATCCAGTTGTACTTATTCCTGTTTGGTAAGAAGCCAAGCAATAGTTCCATTTTACCCTTTGTTTATGGTCGTCATTCCATAATACTGATGCAGTACAGTTCTTCCAGAAATTCTAAGGTCCAGTGAGGTCAGGTTTACAAGTAAAAGTGCATTTTGGTGAATTCAGGTAACTTTTTTTGTGATTAAATCTTAAAGTAAAGAGAGACATTTTTTTATAATAATAATTGCTTTCATTAAAATTTAAGAATTTGTATTTTTTTTTTAAAGAAGGTTGACCTCGCTAGGAGTAGTTTCTTCTAAAAGATATTTCTTTATTTGCAATAATTTATTTCTGTATTATATTTGTGACCATTAATATAGTAATTTGTGTCATTTATTTTTGTATGTTAGAACTATTAAAAGTCATCCAAAGCTACGACGAGGAAACCCCGATGGAGCACGAAAAAAGTTTTTTTGCCTTTTGCTCATATGAACTTGCTTGGAGAGACAATGAGGCCGTAAACTGCAAGATTCACTTTTTTCAGAAGGAATTTAATGTTATGCAACAGCATTTTTTCCAAAACAAATCAAGGCGGTTCGAAAAGTTTGGCAATCAGCGAATGGCTGGTAAGAAATTCATCAAACGAAAATTTATGCCCAGTTAGATTATTTTTGAAATTAATGAAAAAAAGGGAACCAAAGATTTTATTAGATAGATTGTTTCTTACCGTTCACCCCAACTGCAAGGATGGATCTTGGTTCAAAAATTGTCAATTTTTGTGAAATTGCTTATTTATAAAGTGGCAATGGATAATCATTTTTTACTAGGATGACTCTAGGATCCATTATTCCCACATGTGTTTAACTGGTGATAAATCTGGGGATCTCGGTAACCAGGGCAAAATATTAGTCCGAAATTAGGGTATGAGATGGAATTCCAGAATTTCTTCTATGTATCGCTGAGTTGTCATGTTCTCACTGATGACAATTAGAGATGACCTTCAACTATAAGCGAAGGCACCCTACACCATTACCCCAATAGAGAGGTGCACGTGCCATTCGACAAAAACTTATGGATTTCGTCTTTATAGCACGTTGTCTTCTGACCCTGGCTCGGTCATCATGCATCTGTTTGTGGTGAGATACAATAAATGTTTAGTTTTTTTTGTATTTTTTATTTTTGACAATTATTTCAATAGTTACAACTAGCTGTAGTAATGTTATAATTTGGCACCTCGAAGCGGCGTTCTTTTTAAATTGCTAGAGGTGTTTCCTTTCGTTTTGTTTGTTCCAAGAGATGCATATAAGTAACCTCTTTGTTTCATTTTTTGTAGTTGTCCCACTCCAATCCGCTTTCCATTTACTTATCCATCACCCCAGCTTTCCAAACAAACCCTGAGTGCCGTTCGCATAAGTATCGTTAATTTTGCTTGTCCTATCTCCACCCCCATAATTTCTGTCCCCAATTCTACCCCTTAGAGTAACACCCCATGTGGTAGGCAAAATATATTCGTTACAATTAAAATAATAAAACCACGTTCGTCTTTTTGGTCTATGTTCTTCAATTTTCTTGTGGATAATTTAAACAATCTTTAAAACTAACAAGCTTGTAATGTAATATTAAATTTGTAATTTTTTTACATAATCGGCCAGAATGACCTTTGTTCTTCTGAAGTGATGAAGAATTGGAAATATTATTTAATCGTCGCATTAAGCACAAAAATGAATATTATTTAGAGGAAATCAGTACCGAGATAAAGAATTTATGGAGCATTTCAGACTTAGTAGATATATTGCTCAAGAAATTTCAGAGAGGTTTGCTAGGTTTGAATATTTTTTTCAACAAAGTGAAGAATTTGGCAAATTAAGTACAATTGATTAAACATTGATTTTTTTGTGGTTTACTGCTCATGAAGCAACATCATATAGGGATGTGTCTGATAGATTTTGTATATCAATCAGCACATTAAGGAAAGTAATTCACCGGATGACATATTTTCTCAGTAACTTAAGCCCTGAAATAATATTGTGGCCAACTCAAGAGGAACAGTTACATACAATGGAACAATTTTCAACCAATGGTTTTCCATCTGTTATACGAGTTGATACACATACGCATTAATAAACCAAATGAAGATTCAGATTCTTATATAAACAGAAAAGGATATTATTCAATACAGGTATGTTAATATTATCTATCTATATATATATATATATATATATATATATTATATATATATATATATATATATATATATATATATTATATATATATATATCTGTGTCACTTGTGAAAAGTGTGTTAAGTGCAAATTTGTGAATTTTGAGATAAGAACATCACCAGAAAGCTAATTTTTTTCTCTTTCTTTGCGTCTAATGGGCTAAGTGATATCTCTATTACTACGGTCAATATTCCACTGTGAATCATGGGTTGAAACTTCAAAATACAACTTTTACCTGTGAAAAGCGAGTCAAATGTTCTTATCCCACTTAGCACAAATTGTCCGTCATCTAAATATTTGTGGAATGTGAGTTATGTACATATTTTTGTGCTTAGCACATTTTTCACAAGCGAGTAATCCATTTCAGGTTAATATTCATTTACTTCAAACTCTATTGTCACTAAAACGAATTCTGTATTTTTCCACTAAATTCGATACGATGACGACGGCGACTGTAGGTCCGTTCTCAGAATGTTAGCGGTTCATTAGTTTCTTTTTCTACTCTCTTACTAGTAAATTGTCTAATACCTACTATTTGGATGCTAAGTAAATGCATCATAACAGATACTGACACGTAATGACTAGCACGTAATAAAAAAATTACGCTTCAGTTTTATATAAAAATGTGTAATATCAGATAAGCCTTGTAAGTCAGTTGGTCGAGTTACCATGGAAACGAATTAACAGACGTTATTTTGACAGATTAAAAATTATTAAACTGTCAGTGTAAATATAGTGGTAATTTAATTTTTATTTTTATAAACGAAAATAATGGTAGAAAAAGTATAGTACACAACTTGAGTTGTAAGCTTATTACATGCTTGTAAAATTACTGCGCTCGCCGCTACGCGGCTCGCGTGCAACTTTTTTACTCGCATGTAATAAGCTTCTTACAACTCTCGTTATGTAATATACTATATCGGCACCGATACGGTCAAGATGTCTAAACGAACGCAATGTATTATGCAAATGGCGAAGGCCACATTTTTGTCAAATGATTTAAATTATGATTCGTCTGGTAAGTTTATTTGAAATATTATCTAAATAAATTTTAAAACTGTGTTTAAAATTTGGATAAATGTCTAAACTCCTACTGTATTTTTTAGCATCCAGTCCTGCGCTCTCAATTCCTGAGGAATACAGAAAAATTTTCGAATCCGATGATTCAGATCAAGATCCTAATTACATACCTATAGAAAAAAGTGGCAACTATGCACGTAGTAAAACACCAACGAAGAAAATGCCTAATAAAAAACAATGTCTAGGTAAGTAATTAGATTATCCAAGCCTTTTTGTTTTAAAAATGTGAGCTTTTAGCATGTGTAATTAATTTTTATGTATTAATATCATGGATGATTCTTTTTGCAGATCGTGCAATTTATTTTTTTATTTTTAGGTACGATTTGTCCTGGACCTACAACCGAGGCTGAAAATAAAAATATCTTGGAGAGTCTGCCTAACGAATATGACGGTGAAACATCAAACAGAAACGACAACGAAGTTGAAAGTAGCTCCGGTGTTTCTGCAGGTAACCATTTTACCAGTAATTTATACAAACAAAAAAATCGAAACTTAGGAAAAGAATATACCACAAAAACCGGAAAAATAGTTAAAAAAAGAGAAAGGAGGAAGCTCCTCGAATGTCGCAGTAAATGCTCTACTTTAATTGAAATTAACATGCGCGAAAAAATATTTGACGAATATTGGCAGATAGGAGATTTTAATAGAAGGCTTGCATACATCGCAGGACTTTTAAACTTCAAAGAGCCGGTAAGAAGAAGCAACAGGCCAGCCAAAAAACAGGTTTCAGTGGAATATAACATTGAAATTAATGGCACGCGCACAAAAATTTGCAAAGAATGTTTTTTAAAAACGTTTGGAGAAACTAGGCGGTTCATTGCTACAGCAATTAAAAGAAAACAAAAAAATATATCTGGAATTGTTCCACCAGATAATAGAGGTGCTTCATCTGATAATCGCAGTAAAATTTTAAGAGATGACGTTCGAGATTTCCTTAATAAAATACCAGTATATGAAAGTCATTACTCCCGGCGAGATTGCTCAAAAGTTTTTGTCTCCTCACCTAACTATAACAATGCTTCATGAAGAATAAAAAAGCACTTCGATTCTCGAAGCGAGATCAGCTTCTTTTGAAATTTTTCGGCAAGAGTTTCATCGCATGAATCTTCACTTTAAACAACCTAAAGTCGATACCTGTGCGACTTGTGACAGACTAACCCTTGAAGTAAAGTTGGCTCAAGATGAGCACAAAACGGTGATACAGGAGAAACTGCACTTACATCAATCTGATGCTGACCATGCTTATGACCAAAAACGGAACGACAAAGAAATTTCGCAAAATGATGCATCAAAGAAAACAATAACATTTGACTTGCAACAATGCCTTGCAACTCCATTATTAAAAAATTTAATTTCTTTTTATAAAAGGACACTATGGACCTTTAATTTAACAATTTTCGATTGCAACAAAAACCAAACTTATTGTTATGTGTGGCACGAAGCCATTGCCGGACGTGGAGCAAACGAAATTGGATCATGTTTGTACCACTATTTTACCAATATTCTTGAGCCGACGGTAACATCTGTAACAATGTACTCCGATTCATGCCCTGGCCAAAACAAGAATAGCCATATTGCGGTTATGTGCTGGGTAGCTCTTCAAAATTCTAGTACCCTACAAGAGATAAGTCACAAATTTCTTATTTCCGGCCATACTCATATGGAGTGCGATAGCTCTCATGCTCTCATAGAGAAAAAACAAAAAAAATTCAATGGACCAATTGAACACCCTCATGACTGGGCGCAATTAATGCGTGACACTGGAAAAAAAATAAATTTCATGTTATAGAGTTAGAAAGAATCCACTTTTATAATTTTTCTATGTTATTAAAATCATCGTTAATTAACAGAAAAAAAGATAACGATAATGGCGTGATGCATTGGGGTCAGGTTAGATGGCTAAATTACCGCAAAGATAAATCTGGAATTCTTTTTTATAAATTAACGCTCGGCAATGAAGAGTTTAAAACTGTTTCTTTCCAGAAACAAGGAAAGGTTGGAAAACTTTTGCCACATCTTAGATATCAGCAATCACGCATGATACCAAAGGAAAAAAAAGGATCTCTTGGATTTGCTTCCTTACATAGGCCCAACATACAGGGGATTTTATGAGAACCTTAATGCGGGCAATGCATCAGACGTATACCCTGATGCCCAAGATGAAGAACTCGAGATTTTATGATCGAAAGCAATATTTTTTTAACATTTTTTACTATAATATGCATTATTATTATGTATATTATTATTAACACTATGTATTAATTTAGTATTCATTTTATTTGTGTTGTTCTTAATTGCATTTCATTTTTCTTTCTTTTGTACTTATACGTTTTTTATATTGCAATAAAAAATTATGTTACATACGACGTATTATTGTTTACCTATGTGTTTTGTTCCAATAAAGACATTTATGAAAAAAGTATAATTTATTGTTTACATAATAATTTTTTAAGTTCTAACAGGGCAAATATAGCATAAAATTGCCAACATTTTGAGAAACTGTTAAACACTTAACACATTGTACACTAATGGAATTAGTGTAAAACGCACTAAGTACAGACAATTTAAAACAATTTGTAAAAATAGAGGTTATAATTAATAACAAAAAAAAACGAAAACATTTCAATAATAAAGAAAAATGTAGTGCCAAAATGTTGAGGCTTTAAAACTGGCATTTTATCAATATATAGATTCTGGAAAAATTGTGAAACATTCAATTGCGTTTTCTCGAAAATGCGATTTTGGCACATAACACACTTTTCACAAGTGACACAGATATATGTTACGAGCAAAGCCCGAAATTGGACAATCCTAACATTGTACAGAAAATATTGTCCACTTCTAGCATTGTACACCCAAACTGTACAATGTCCGAAATGGTCCATATTAAAAATGAATATCGAAACGCTCATCGATTCGAATCGATTATTATTGACAACAAGCGACACACCAAATCAAAAATCGAACATTTATTAATAGACCCATAATATTTATTATTATTTATGGTTAATTTTTTTATATTTTCATGTTTTATGTTTATAGAGTTATTCTTATTCAAATCGACAATGTGATAAAATGCTATTTTCAACTAAAATATAAATAATAAGAAGAAATTGTTCTACAATAGTGATAATGTTAGTGAAACATTTCAAAGGTTCAAGAAGTAGATACATTATTATAATACAGGGAAGATGTTTGTGAAACATTTCAGATTTTTAAGAGATATGTAAGATAAGTTAAAAGAAAAATTATACAGTTTCAACATGTGACATTAAAAGTAGAAAACACA